TTACATCAACTTTAATTCACTATTCATCCGCTCACATTTTTAGTATATAACATTCAATCATCTATTCTTACTTTTACATCAATTCAATTTTAATCATTTTATTTAAAGATTATTTTAATATAATTTTAAAATTTCACTAACAACTAACCATATCAATATTTTCAAAATTAACCATGGTTAACAAAAAAAAAAAAATCAAATATCTTTATAAACAAGCACACACTTATCACTTGATTTTTGGTCCAATTCTTCTTTTCTATTCTCCTCGCCTCTATGAAACGCGTACATTCTCAATGTTTTCAACTGTGATACGTATTTCTGCATGTACATTCCCAAAACCACTGCATATAAGTGTGTACTCGTACGCGCTTCATGTTGGCTTATGCAAGTAAATTATGATTTTTTTTCCATATTTCGCTTGCAGCTTTCTTCATGATCATTCTCGTTGAAATCTCATTGACCATTGCTTAGAGAAATGTATTTTTAGAATGGCAGATAAAATTAGTGCTTAGGGGGTGCTTGTTTACAAATATTTCACTCACGTTTATTCCATACTCAAAATCTAACTCAATTTTAACTCAACCTCATTATCTTTAATATTTATTTATACAATTAAAAAATACACCAGTCATTCCTATATATTACATCAACTTTAATTCACTATTCATCCACTTGCATAATTTTAATTATTACTTCAAATTATATATTTCCTACTTTTACATCAAATCAACTTTACCTATTTTGTTTTAAATGTTATTTTAATAAATACTCAAAATTCCACTATCAACTCACTATACTACCCTTTTCAATATTAACCCTGGTTTTGTAAACAAGCACGCATGTGGAGAAAATCTTGTTGAAAGGAAAGTGTCGAATCCTTTCACTAGCCATAACTCGTCGCATTTTTTTTTCAGACGTATATCCGAAATTTCGCTGACAAGGATGGTAAGATTTGGGTCGGGGGTGGGGGTCGTAACCCACCCCCCGAGGCCCCCCACCTCGTCCTAACGACCCCCGACATAGAATCCTTGCGGCCCAAGTCTCCCATGAAGAACCAACAGCAGCTCCAACAGCAACAACAGCAATCCGTGTCCATCACCCTCACAAGCGCGAATTCCGGCGGCAAGAGGCCCGGGAACTCGCCGCAAAACCATGGGCCCGCTCCCAATTTCTCTGGCCCGGAAGCTTCTGGATCCAGCCTCCAGTCCCCCGCCCCGTGGGGCCCGCCGCCCGTGGAGGCGTTTGGGTACGGTGCTCCGTTTGGTCCCGCGGGCGGAGGGGAGTTTTTGGATTATGAAGGCCATAGAGGGATGAATATATTGTAGCTCGAAGTTTCAATGTCAAACATTTTATTTTATTTTTCTTAATGTATAACTTTTCTTGTGCTTTATTTTATCATTAATTTTGCATTTGATAATTCATTTGAGTCGTGGAAAATGGCTTCCTTTCGGGATAATAAGGAAATATGCAGGAATGAGGAACTAGGAAGGAGCAGGAGCTCTTTATGTTGTTTGATTGTATTTTATTTTACTATGCTTGATGAGTTTTTGTTGTGCTCTCTTCATTTATGTTGGTGTTATCAAGATAGGCAAAAATACATTTTTTTTAGTGTCGTAACAATTTTAGTCTCAATGTTTTATTTTTGGTCCCGTAATTTAGTCCCAATGTTGAACGGATTGGATTGCAACAAAATTTTAATTTACAACAAAATTCTAGATTACAAAAGAATTAAAATTACAAGACTGAAATTACAACTAAATTTTAGATTGCAGATGAGTTAAATTGTTAATAAAAAATCTATCACTAAGATGTAAATTTAGAAATTTGTTGCAAATTTAACATTCAAATTATTGAAACTGCAGTAAAATATATGGATTACGAGGCCCATTGAGGGATAAATATGTTGTAGCCCAAAGTTTCAATGTAAACACATTTTTTTTTTTCGTTTCTTTCTTTTCTTCAAGTAAACGTTTCTTGTGCTTTATCATTAATTTTGCATTTGATAAATTTACTCAAGCCTAATAACGAAGCATGTAAAATTGCCATATAGAATTTCGAATCATGCGAGTCTGCCACTTAGGCTCAGCATGTTCTGAAATAATATATGATGATGATGATGGGGATATTGACATAAATGACTTGTATATTGCAATTTTATATAAATTCCTTAATAATAAGATATTATAAATATGTGGAAATTTGAAGAATCTACATGCAATTAACTTACACAATTTAAAACTTTTTAAAAATCTTATTTTGAGATTTCATGAGTTAGTTTTTCATTTATTAACTTTGTGTTGTCAAGACTTATATTAAGAACTTCTGGTGGCATGCTGAATGCGGATTATAGAATAATTTGGCATATATTATACTTCACATCTACTTGTAGATTCAATTTCCAAAAATAATTTAGATTCAATTTCCTATTGTTGCCTTAAACACAAAATCATTGCATTTATAAAGCCAGTGCAATATTGACAAACATTTTCTACAACAATAATTCTCAATTTTCCCTTTAAATATATTCAATATTCATTGCATATATACCCTCAATTAGAAATAAATAAATAAATAAATAAAATTATTTCATTTTGACAACTATGGTAATAATAATATATCACATTATTTTAACAAAAAATGCTCTCATTCATTACTTATTTTGACAAAAAATGCTCCCATCCATTACTTATTTTGACAAAAAAATGCTCTCGTCCATTACATTATCATGACCATTATTTTATGAAACATAATATAACCAAATATCCACTAATTTATTGCATTCCTTTAACTATAAATGTATCATACATATAGACAAACACTTTCACATCAAACATACAAAAATCTTCTTTGAAAAAAAAAAATAAATAAATAAAAATACCACATACATTATTAGAGTTCAAAATGAAGTATTCCACCATAATAACGTACTCTCTACTTCCATTCATCATCTTCTCACCCTATTTTCTCGTCATCAAAGCCATGGCCACACTACACAAATCCTCTTCCTCAAACACCACGCTAGACTTCGATTGCAAATACAAACTCTTTGTCAAAAACAATCTTCCTTATACTCGGGGACAATTTGGCACGATGCTTTCCGTGCATTGTTTTAGCAGGTACGAAGACTTTGGATATGACCTCATTGGGCTCGACAGAACCGTCAATTTTACTCTCTGCTCCAACCCTCGCTCGACTCAGTACCTTTGCACTCTCCAATGGGTTAACAAAACGGTAGATATAACCATACGCGCGTTTGAAGCGTATAATGATGATAGATGCTACCGAACAAATCTATGCTTTTACGCGGCTTTAAGAGATGGCATTTACTTCACCGGGAACTACCCGCCTACGGACTTGACGTTGAATCATCCGTGGTCTTGATAGGAAGTATTTAGAGGAAAGACATATATGCATGACTCTTTTGAGATCAAAAGTGATTATTTTTATGTTTTTGCTTAATGCAAGATGAATTATAGCTTATTGTCAATGAATTTTGTTTGATCGATTGATTTGTTGTTATGTTTTTGCTTAATGCAAGATGAATAATAGCTTGCTAATGAAGTTGGTTTGGTAGTTTCGGTTAAACTTTTCAAAGTTTAAATCATGATTGAATGGATATTATTGAATAGTAGAAACATACTAATTTTATTTTTTAGCTTTTTTTAAATTTGGTGGGATTTAATAGTTTGACATTTGATTTATATATGAAACTTATTCGTTCGAAAATTAGTGTTAGAGTTTAATTTAGATCAATATTAGGAACATGAAAAACTTTGACATATGCACATATCTATTCATATCATAAATTTTCGTAATTAATTCTATCTATATGTCTCGTTTTATTAATATCACTAGTACAACACCCGTGTATTACACGGGTGCTTGCTAATTTTTTTCTTAAAATCTAAAATTAATGAGAAAAAATAGTTGGAATTTTAAATACCTTTTACAAAAATATATATATTATTATATATTTAGTATGACACTTTTTATTTGTCCGACTTATCTGTGTCATATTACAATAATTTTTTAACTTACAACATATTACTACATTAAATATAAATATATCAGTTGATAAATAATTTTATTTTTCTATTGAATTTTACTAAATTTTATTATTCTTTATTATTATAAAGATAAATATAATTTATTATTTCATATATACAATATGGATGTCAAATCGAAGATCATCAAAAGATGATTAATTTGATATATAATATATGTAAAACCGATAAGAAATACAAAAATTATCAACTTTTAAAATACATTTACAATTTAATAGCTAATTGAAGGAAACAAATCAAAGTAAGGATATATTAATCATTTAGTATCTCACAATATAAAATTATAAATAATTAAAGGATTATATTAGTACAAGTGATATTAAAATACCTAAGTTAGATAAATAATAATTATGGAATGAACCTAGATTATTAATCCTCCTTATATATAATTTCAGAATGCGCTGAGCCTACGTGGCTGCTTCTGGTGCTTCGAAATCCTATTTGACGAAAAATCATGCTTCGTAATTAGGCTTGGACAAATAATATTAATATATTAATAATTAATAATCTAGGTTCGGATATTCCATAAATATTATTTAGCTAACTTAGGTATTTTAATATCACTTTTACTAATATAACCCTTTAATTATTTTTAATTTTACATAGTGAGACACAAAGTGACTAATATATCCCTAAATTTTGATTTGCTTCATTCAATAAGCTATTGATTATAAATGTATTTTAAAAGTAGATAACTTTTGTATTTTTTATCGGTTTTACATATACAATATATCAAATTAATCATCTTTTGATGATCTTCGCTTTGACATCCATATTGTATATATAATATAAATAAATTGTATTTATCTTTATAATAATAAAAATAATAATATTTATTGAAATTCATTAGAAAAATAAAATTATTTCTCAATTGATATATTTATATTTAATGTAGTTATGTAGTGTAAGTTAAAAAATTAGTATAATATAACACAAGTAAATCACACAAATAAAAAGTATCATAATAAATATATAATATATATATATATATATATATATATATAATATTCTTATAAAAGGTATTTAAATTTTCAAACTACTTTTTTTCATTAATTTTAAATTATAAGAAAAAAATTAGCAAACACCCGTGTAATGCACGGGTGTTGTACTAGTTATTAATATATCAATATTATTTGTCCAAACCTAATTACAAAGCATGATTCTTCGCCAAGTAGGATTACGAAGCACCAGAATCAGCCACGTAGGCTCAGCGCATTCGGGAATTATATATAGGGAACCATATCCTCTCCTCTCTATATATTATTCCCGAATGCGCTTAACCTACATGGCTGCTTCTAGTGCTTGGGAATCTTACTTGGCAAAGAATCATGCTTCGTAATTAGGTTTGGACAAATAATTTTGATATATTAATAATTAATAATCTAGGTTCGGACATTCCATATATATTAAATAGCTAACTTAGGTATTTTAATATCATTTGTACTAATATAACCTTTAATTTTTTATAATTTTACATAGTAAGACATTAAGTGACTAATATATCCTTGACTTTTGATTTGTTTCCTTCAATTAGTTATTTAATTGTAAATGTATTTTAAAAGTTGATAAGTTTTGTATTTCTTATCAGTTTTCACTAAAAAAAACACTACAATTTCAACGAAAAAGTCCAACGGCAAAAATTTCCATTGGAAATTCCAATGAATATTCCAACAAACTTAATTTTATGTTGGAATAAGTGTTGGATAGTTGAGGAATTCCAACGGATTTTTTCCGTTGGAATAGCTGTAGGAATTTGTTTCCATAGGATTTTCCGTTGGATATTTGCTATTCCAATAGCCATTTTTCTAACGGATTTTTATACGTAGAAATATCCGTTGGAATAGCTATTCCAACGGAAATATAAAAAATTCCAACATAAAATTTCCGTTGGAATGTAAGAGTTTTTTTGTAGTGTTTACATATATAATATATCAAATTAATCATCTTTTGATGATCTTCGATTTGACATCCATGTTGTATATATGAAATAAATAAATTATATTTATCTTTATAATAATAAAAAATAATAACATTTATTAAATTCATTATAAAAATAAAATTATTTCTCAATTGATATATTTATGTTTAATTTAGTTATATGTTGTAAGTTAAAAAATTATTATAATATAACACAATTAAGTCGTACAAATTAAAAAGTGTCATACTAAATATATAATAATATATATATTTTTATAAAATGTATTTAAATTTTCAGTTACTTTTTTCTCATTAATTTTAGATTTTAAGAAAAAATTAGCAAACACCCGTGTAATACATGAATGTTGTACTAGTCTTATTTTGAATCCAAAATAATTACTGCTAAGTTGGAAAATTGACATAAATTTTTATAAATATAATTAATCAGCACTTATATAAGTTTAAAAGGGATGCGCATGTATATTACTTTCAAGGTGCAATGTATAAAATTTAGCTATGTTTGGTAGACAAATAAGCTAGTTTATAGCTTATTTGGTTAGCTCATAAGCTCTCTGTATTCAAATAAGTCTCGTTTGGTAGGATAAGCTTTTTTAAAAAGCTCAAACTTATTTGATAAACTTCCTTAGGTAGTTTTTCAAATAAGTTAGGTGAATTTTTTATTTCATTTACTTTATCAGCTAATTTTACGAAACACTTTTATCATATAAGCTAACTTTTCTGCTATAAGTCATAAACTATAAGTCATAAGCTAAAAAATTACTGATCAGCTATAAGATAGCTTATCAGCTAGCAGTGTCAAACAGGCCGGTCCGGTCCGGCCCGCGTTGGCCCGCGGTTCAAACAGGCCGGGCCAAAATGCTCCGCATTTCTAGGGGCTGGGAAATCCATGGCCCGTGGCCCGCCCTCATTAAACCGTGGGCCAAATCGGCCCGCCCGCGGGTTTTCTAGTATTATGCACTCTTATATACTTTCCGGTTTATTTATCCTTATATTTACTAGTATATTAATAAACTAGTAAGGCTTCAAGTGTAATGATGTTAAATATTTGTCATTCAGTTTTATTTTGATTTTGTTTATGAATATTTATAGGGTATTCACGCGCATGAGAGATTTAATTCACATAAAATATTATTGATTTCATTAATATTTTTATTATGTAAAAAAGTGTTTCATGTGCATTCACAAATCTTAATATCATTATCAAATTTTAAAAAATATAAAATAAAAAAGAAGAAGAAGATCACAAATCTTAATATCATTGTCAAATTTTAAAAAATATAAAATAAAGAAAATAAAAAAGAAGAAGAAGATCACAAATCTTAATATCAT